CATTTCTCATTACTCTTAACTTTATAGTTTTTAAGGAAATAAGACTATGAGTCATTGGTCCAGACCTATGTTGACTCCTTTCCACACAGTCTTGCTTTCCTTGGAACCTGTTGAAGCACTGCTTCATTTAAATTTTACTCTACCTTCCTTAAATCAAATTCTATGCTAAATATTTTTTTCTTTGTTTGGCAAGGTACCCCATAATTCCTCTGCTGTGTGCCCTTCTTAGTTGAGTGAGTCAGTAAATCTGACTTTGTCAGACTATAGGTTTGTTGTCTTTATAGTGGGTAGAGGGATGGGTCTTAGGCCAGTCTGTGCCTGACATTTCCAACTCAGAATCTCTTTCTTGAATCTCAGTCCAAGTGTTTGCTGAAAAATTACATCCGGAAGGCCCTTTAAATATCTCAGACTAATATAATCAATACAGAGTTTTTATCTTCCTCCCACTTAATCTGTATGCTTCTTGCTGTCCCTATTCTGGTTAACAAACATTCATGTCTCACTAGAAAGCTAGGCATCATCTGTGGATGCTCTTCCTCATTTCCCTATAGTCGGTCAGCCTTGCTACCTCCAGGACTTAGCACGGTGCTGGGCACACAGTAGGCCCCCTTGGTACTGGGTTGAATGGTGAATGAATGAAGAGACCACAGAAGTCTGGTGCAGCTTCTGATCCTAAGCTTCATGCCTTCATCCTCTTGCATTTACCCTCCTCTGTTAGGTAAACTCATCCACCCCCTGGTCCCAGCTCCACTGGGATACCTCCTTGACTCACACTAGGAAGACATAAGAAGAACTCTGTGTGTCCCCAGTACACTTTGTGATGCATCATTTAAGCTCTGATCAGTGTTTTGTAGTTATTTATTTATTTGTTTATAGTTATTAGTCTGTCTTGATGGGCTCTGAGCTCTTTAAAGCCTTGTTCATTTGGTATCCCCTGAGCCTAGCTCATTAGGAGTTTCTAGATATCTGTGGAGCAAAGTGCTTTATCTGGGAGTCTCCCCCAGTAGCTGTGGTTGAAAGTGACACAAGAAGGCTGGCAGGGCTGGGACAGGATGAAGACCGTGCCAACTGCAGGACAAGTCAGAGGCTGAAGTTTCTGCTGGACCATCTTCAAGAAGTTGCTTTGCTCAGGCCATTCTCCTTGCAGGTTCTCTCCTCTGCCCCTGCTCATCCTCTTCCCTCCTTGGACCACTAGCTGTCATACTGCTATCCTTTCCTAATCCTGTCCTCCCTTCAAAGCCCAGCCTACCTCTACCACACCCAGAAGCCTTGAGGCCTTTGGCTGCTCATCAGCCCACTCATGCATTCCTGTGGCAGGAGACCCTTCTTTTAAGATATGTAAGGAGACTTGAAACCAGAGAGGATAAGGAAGGGCATTCAGTAGCCCATGTCCTTCAGGAGCTCATAATCAAGTGTAATACTTAAAATATGAGTTCATATTTTACTTTATTTATTTATTTATTTTTATTTTTTGAGACAGAGTCTCACTCTGTTGCCCAGACTGGAGTGCAATGGCACGGTCTCGGCTCACTGGAACCTCCACCTCCTGGGTTCAAATAATTCTCCTGCCTCAGCCTCTCGAGTAGCTGGGACTACAGGTGCCCACCACCATGCCCAGCTAATTTTTGTATTTTTCTTTTAGTAGAGATAGGGTTTTACCATCTTGGTCAGGCTGGTCTCGAACTCCATACCTCAAGTGGTCCACCCATCTCAGCCTCCGAAAGTGCTGGGATTATAGGTGTGCCACCATGCCTGGCTTTTATTTTATAATATTTTTGGAGACAGGCACTTGCTGTGTCACCCAGGCTGGAATGCAGTGGCATAATCCTGGCTCACTGCAGCCTTGAACTTCTAGGCTGAAGTGGTCCTCATACCTCAGCCTCCTAAGTAGCTGGGACTACTTAACCACCATGCCTGGCTAATTTTCAAAATTTTTTTGTTAGATATGGGGTCTCACTGTGTTGCCCAGGCTGATCTCAAACTCCTGGGCTCAAGTGATCCTATCATTCAGCCTCCCAAGTAGCTGGGATTATAGGAGCAAGCCTCTGTGACCAGCTTGCATTTTGGTCTAAATATATATTTTTAAATATAGTATCATTTCTGTGTATTATGTATAATATTGATTTTTTTATTTCAAAAGCAATTTACAGACTTGGAAATATAAATCGTATATAAGCCTATTACCCAGAGGCAATCTCTGTTAGTATTTTAGTGTATTTTCATTTAGCTTTTTTGAAAATACAATTTTTACCTTTTTATTTTGGAACACTTTCAGTCTTACATAAATGTTTCAAGAAGTAAAAGGAAAACTTCCCTATACCCTTTGCCTAGACAACCAGTTTTTAGCATCTTATCACATTTCCTTTATTATTCTCTTTGTCTACAGGTAATCATAAAGTCTGGACACGTAACAAATATACATGATATCATCAGGACATCTTTAATCTGTAAATAAATGAAATTATAGTACCTACATGTCCAGATTTTATGGCTGGTTTGTATTTTTACATGTTATTTTTCTTCAACTATTTATGAATAGGCTGTATTCATTCATTTCCTAATACATCAGCTATATCTCCTTTTTTTTTTTTTTTTTNTTTTTTTTGAGACGGAGTCTTGCTTTGTTGCCCAGACTGGAGTGCCATGGTGCGATCTTGGCTCTCTGCAACCTCCATCTCCCAGGTTCAAGTGATTCTCTTGCCTCAGCCTCCCAAGTAGCTGGGATTACAGGCACACGCCACTGCACCTGGCTAAATTTTGTATTTTTAGTGGAGAAGGGGTTTCACCCTGTTGGCAAGGCTGGTCTCGAACCCCTGACCTCAGGTGATCCGCCCGCCTTGGCCTCCCAAAGTGCTGGAATTACAGGCGTGAGCCATCGTGCTTGGCCCAGCATGTATTTCTTAAGAATAAGGACATTCTCTTATATAACCACAATGTAGTAATTACATTCAGGAGATTTAACATGGTTACACCGCTTTTATTAACCTATGGCCCATATTGCACTTTTGTCATTTGTCTCAGTAATGCTCTTGAGATCATTCCCCCCGCTACTCCAGGATCCAATCCCAAGTCACAAAATGCATCTAGTTCTCTCTTTAGTTTCTTTAATGTAAAACTGTCTCATTCTCAGTCTTTCTTTGTCTTTATGACATTGACGTATTTGAAGGGCAAAACCAGTTAATTTATGGAATGTCCCTCAATTTGGGTTTGTTATGTTTTCTCATGATTAGATTCAGTCCCTTTGGAATATTATGTGATGCTGTGGACTTCTCAGATTATCACATTTGGAAGAAAACACTGTGCCACCTGCCCTTCATTGATCCTTTTAACATGTCCCCATCATTTTTGGGGGGTAAGACTTCATTACTTTCTGGTGCAACAAAATGTACCAGTTTCATCTTGTACCCTCCCTTCTCCAGCCTTCAAATCAGCTCCTTTCGTAAAGAACCCTGGTCCCTGTTAGTGGACCAGGAAGTAGATGTCATTTCGTCTTTTTGCTTTTCACTTAGTATCTGTCTAGCTCTGTTTATCTGCTTGTTTATTGAGTTGGAATCACACTGCTTATATGCATTTCATAAAATTTAAGCATTATTCCATGTCATAAATGTTTGAAAACATAGTTTTAAAGGCTGCATAGTATTCGGTCATATGAATGGGCCGTCATTTATTTAACCATCCACCTTTGTAAATAATACAGCAGTGAACATCTTGGTGTATCCACCTGACCACATCTTTGAACATCTTGGATTGTTTCCTTAGACAACCTTCTTAAGGGTGAAATTTTGCCAGGACAGCATTGTGAGCCTCCCCTATGTATGTCTTAAATGGGGAAATGGTCCAGGTTGTCTGGATTATAAGAGGTTAGAGAGGCAGCTGTTTCTGTTAGGAATGGATTGAAGCTTGATCTGGTTTGTGACACACAGCACCTGGGAAGTGGTGGCATTAGGGGTTAGAGGTTGCTTCATGCAGGGGTGCCATGGTGGAAGAGAAATGGAGGTGGGATAAGAACTCTTGTGTTGGGGGACTTTGAGGTGACCTGGAGCCCATTGCAGGGTCTTTATTGGGAAGGGAAAGGAATAGGAATTGACTGCAGAGTCTAGTGTCCTACTAAATAAGGGGAGAGAATGTGGAGGCTTCTGTTTTCTCCACTCTGCAAAGGATGGTGCTTGGCGAGTTGTGGGGCTCCAGGGAGGAATTTGGGGCAGAGCCCAGAGTGTAGTGAGGCATGAATGCCCAGCGATTGCAGCTTCCCCTTCATCCCTGAGCTTGGCACCCTCCATCTTCCCCTTGAGCTCGGCTTTGCCCAGCTGGCTTAGTCCCCAGGACAGAAGGCCCAGCAGCCCAGTTGCTTGGTTTCCTTTCATTGTGCTCTAATGCCTGTAGCCGCACTTAGCACAAAGCCCTTCTTTTCTATGGTTCCTGCTCTGGGGCAAGGTTGAGGGAGCTGCTCCTTGTCCTGTACCTCGGCAGCTACATGGCTATGGGTGAAGGATGACCTGAGGGTTGTGAGCTTGGTGCTTTCAAGCTTGAGCTGTGCTTGGGGATCTCTCCCTGGGGGCAGAGCTGGACCTTGGGGAGGAACCCTGTGTGGGGCAGGTAGGACACTGTATCACTTGAAGTCCTGAGCAAGGCAAGGGGTCTGGGGACCAAGCCTCACCTTCAGCCTGCATGTCCAGGGATGCTTGGGAGCTTCTAAAGGGCTCAGAATAAATCTCAGGGCATTGGGAGAGAAGGGGGAAAATGGGAGGCACCTGGAAGAGCAGATGGGCCTGTCCCTGAGTATCTCAGTGGTCTCTCTGAGTTGACTTTGGAAAACTGTCAACCCTAGGAGCTGTCTTCGGATTTTTGAGGCCTCATTGGCATTTATCACCCACATGGGGAGTTCTGGGGACTGGGGGACCCCAATCATAAAGGAGAGCTGTGAGTGGGGTTCCCCAGTGTCTGGAGTAGGGTGTATAGCAGCTGATCCTTTTACTCTTCTCTCTCATCCTCTTCTTCAGACATCCTTCTATGGCCGCTTCAGGCACTTCTTGGATATCATCGACCCTCGCACACTGTTTGTCACTGAGGTAAGTCATGGCTGTCACCCTCACTGGCCCTTTGGCCTTTGTACCTTGTCATTTCAGAATATGTGGGCCATTAAGGGGCCAGGGAGGGTGAGGATGGGGGAGTGAAGAGAATAGGGGAGGTGGGAGGTGAGAGGAAGGTAACAAATTCGCTCTACCTGTAACTATCTATGTATCTATGTGTCTGTCTGCGTCTGTCTGAGTTCATACATTGTGCTGTATGCTTTTCACATAATGTCATTTGGATCTCACAACAGCCCTTCAAGATAGATATTATTACTATTTATTTATTTATTTATTTTTATTTATTTATTTTTTTTTGAGACGGAGTTTCGCTCTTGTTACCCAGGCTGGAGTGCAATGGCACGATCTCGGCTCACCGCAGCCTCCGCCTCCTGGGTTCAGGCAATTCTCCTGCCTCAGCCTCCTGAGTAGCTGGGATTACAGGCACGCGCCACCATGCCCAGCTAATTTTTTGTATTTTTAGTAGAGACGGGGTTTCACCATGTTGACCAGGATGGTCTCGATCTCTTGACCTCGTGATCCACCCGCCTCGGCCTCCCAAAGTGCTGGGATTACAGGCTTGAGCCACCGCGCCCGGCAGATATTATTATTATTTAAAACTTTAATGAAATTATTGTCAAGTACCTAAATTATTTGCTTGTTAGAAAAGTTCCAGCAGTACAATATGTTTAAGTAGAAAAAAAAAGTATCGTTTAATCATCCACCCTACTTAGTTCTGTTTTCTCATAGGTAACAGCTGTTAATAGCTTTTAACATCAAGTTATTAAGATATAATTTACCTTTCTTAGGTGTGCAGTTCTTTGAGTTTTGACAGTCATATTCAGTCATGTATCCACCATCACAGTTGAATTAGTCTGGTCTCAAACTGCTATAAAGAAATACCTGAGACTGGGTAATTAATAAAGGAAAGTGGTTTAATTGTCTCACAGTTCCTCATGGCTGGGGAGGCCTCAGGAAATGATCATGGTGGAAGAGGAAGTAGGCACCTTCTTCACAAGGTGGCAGGAGAGAGAGGAATGGAGGAGGAACTTCCGAGCACTTATAAAACCATCAGATCTCATGAGAACTTAACATCACGAGAACAGCATGGGGGAAACCACTCCCATGGAATCAGTCACCTCCCACCACGTCCCTCCCTCAATATGTGGGGATTATGGGGTTTACAGTTTGAGATGAGATTCTTGTGGGGACACAGAACGAAACCATATGGACAATCAAGATGTGAAGTATTTTCATCACTCTAATGTGTTCCCTCATACCAGTTTATAATCAGTTCCTCCCTATCTCCACCCCTTGTCAACCAATCATCTGCTTTCTGTTTCTATTGTTTTGCTGTTTCCAGAATGTCCTATAAATGGAATCCTACAGTATGCAGCCTTTTGTGTCTGGCTTCTTTCCCTTAACATAATGCTTTTGAGGCTGGGTGCAATGGCTCACACCTGTAATGGAGGATTGCTGGAGCTCAGTAGTTCAAGACCAGCCTGGACAACATAGTGAGATCTGTCTCTACAAAAAATTAAAAAATTAGCCCAGTGTGGTGGTGCATGCTTGTAGTCCCAGCTACTTGGGAGGCTCAGGTGGGAGGATTCCTTGAGCTTGAGAGATTGAGGCTGCAGTAAACCATGATTGTGGCACTGCACTCCAGCCTGAGTAACAGAGCGAGACCTTATCTTTAAAAAAAAATGCTTTTGGGATTCATTTGTGTCATTGCATGTATTAGTAATTAATCCCTTCTTCTGCTGAGTAAAGTGTCCCATTGAAAGGATGTTCCAGAATTTGTTTATCCATTTGCTTATTGATAAACACCTGGGTTCTTTCCAGTTTTTTGCTATTATGAATAAAACTACTATGAACATTCTTTGTGTGGATGTATGCTTTCATTTCTCTTGAAGGAATAAGAATGGGATTGCTGGATCCTATGATAAGTATGCTAAATATATGTTTAACTTTTTCAGAAACTGCCAAACTATTGTTCAAAGGGCTGTATATTTTACATTTCCATGAGCAATGTCTGGGAGTTTCAGTTGCTCCACTTCCTCACCAACGCTTGCTATTGTCAAATTTAAAAATCTTTTTTTATTCAGCCATTCTAAGAAGTATGTCTTGACGGACTTTTTATATGTATTTACAAATGTGTGTAGGAATACATGTACATATAAAATATTGGGTTTTTTTTTTTTTTTTCCAGACAGGGCCTTGTTTTGTTACCCAGGCTGGAGTGCAGTGGCGCATTCTCAGCTCACTGCAACCGCTACCTCCCAAGTAATTTCTCGTGTTTCAGCCTCCTGAGTAGCTGGGATTACAGGCGTGCACCACCATGCCTGGCTAATTTTTTGTATTTTCACTAGAGACTGGGTTTCACCATGTTGGCCAGGCTTGTCTCAAACTCCTTGTCTCAAGAAATCCACCTCAGCCTCCCAAATTGCTGGGAAAATAGGTGTGAGCCACCGTGCCCAGCCTAAAATGTCAAATATTTTTTAAGTACTATAAACAAGGCCATTTGTAAGCATTTTACATACATTAGTTTATCAGATTAACTCAAAGCAGCCCTAAGATGTCAATGCTATTATAAGTTCCATTTTACACATGAAGAAACAGACAGACTAGAAGTTAAGCCTCATGCATATGGTATTGGCAAGTAATGGAGCCAGGGTATGAACCCAGGTACACTGGTCTCCAGACCCTTATTCTCACCCAATTTGCATTCCTGTTCAAATAACTTGAGTTTAGGGAACTTGACCAAGATGACATGGCAGAAGGCCTAAGTGTTGGTCCTGACCCCCATGTGGGCAGCACTTCACTGCACATCTTCTTTGTACTGACATTGGCTTGCTTGCTTTAAGCCCTGGAGTTGACCAGCTCTGGGAGAGAAAAGCCATGATAGAAGGGAGCACAGGGCTTGCTGGGCACCTGGGCCTAGAACCAGGCCCCGTCGGGTTTAGGGGAGCAGCTCAGTAACATGAAATGTGGAAGTACCCTGGCATGTAGTTTCCTACTGCATCTCAGAAGGACAAAGGGCATAGGTATTTTAGTAGCTGACTTGGCCTCTGTCTGAATTCTCCTAAGAAGTAATCGAGGAATAATCAATGCAATTATATAAGTTGGAAGAGCACAGAACTAGAGAAACTACTTATCTGGCCCACCTAATGTGCTGGGAGGGAGCGTGGGATGGTTGCTGCTTAGCTGGAGGAAGTTTGGATGAGTCCCGTTGTCTGTGATGATGGGAGAACAGTAGAGGTCATGAGGACTTGAGGAGGTGGCTCTGGAAGCTGGGGAGTCCAGAAGTAGAAAGAGCCTAGGCAGCTTGAGCCATCTGGTGACCTGGCCCTGAGGGACATTAGCTGAACCAATGGAGAAACACCTCTTCAGGGAATTTTGCAGCTACTACTTTGTAGCTTCTTCCAACTGACCAAGCTTTAAAAAGATCCCAACCCTTATATGTGTAATAAGGCAGAGGAAGTTTTATTCACTGTAATTTCTCTTAGGAAGAAGGCTGTCTTTGTTCTAAGAATGTCTTGAACAAAGCTTCAGAGGAAAAGCTTGCTCTGCTTGACAGAGAGAAGAATGGTGCATTTTGATCCTAAATGGAGAAAGGAGAGGGAAGGAAGAGGAGAAAAAAGTGGGAAGGAGAGCATGATACTGGGATGGGCTGAAAGACCAATAAAGAAATGCCACAATGAGGTGTGGCTGGGGCTCTTTTGAGTTAGTGATGCTTACTGTGTTTGTGAAAACTGTGAATTTGCACTGTTATTCCCTCTACCATAATTCCTGGGAAGTTGTCAGAAAATATGCCTGGTTTGTGAAATCTCTACAAGAGATTATTTAGGGGGATTTTTTTGTTGTTGTTAAGGCAGAGTCTCACTTTGTGGCCCAGTTTGGAGTGCAGTGGCATGATCTCAACTCACTGTAGCCTCTGCCTCCTGGGCTCAAGCGATTCTCATGCTTCAGCCTCCTGATTAGCTGGGACTACAAGTGCATGCTACCATGCTCAGATAATTTTTCTATTTTTGTAGAGACAGGGTTTTGCTATGTTGTTCAGGCTGGCGAAAGTGATCGACCCGCCTTGGCCTCCCAGGGTGCTGGGATTACAGGCATGAGCCACTGTGCCTGGCCATTTGGGGGAATCTTGAAAGGCTGTGAGTCTCCTTGCCAGGGTGCAGTGTGTTCAGAATTATTTCCAATGAAATAAGTCACCAGGATCTTGCAGAAGCAAAAGGGAGAAATCTTTGGCCCTCCATGTAGGCTGGGGAATTAGATCTAGATCTCTAAGGGCAAGGCTGTATGACATCTGAATTACTCTTAATTATGGACCAAAGATGGAAGGCATTTGCTATTCTGAATTCAAAAATTACTTAAGGAAATGAATGGCTGACACATCATCATGTAGAGCATAGAAAACTAACTGAAATAGTGTTAATAACAACAATTCAATACTAGAATTGGTGTTAAAATCTGAAACTATTTGAGGTGTAGTATAGGATAGAATAATTATACTGATGTGGAGAACCAGCGTTCTCACTGTGGGAGATGAGTGATACAAGTATAGAGTAGGGGAAAAGACAGAAAGGACTATGTGATGTTGTATTTGAATTAGAGGTACCAATATGCACTCATCACACACACACACACACACACACACACAAACTCTCTCTCTGTCTCTCACTCACAAACACACAATTTCCTAATTTTCTGGCTCTGTTTTCTGAAAGGGCGTAGAACTTAGGAACACCACAGTAACAAT